TCCTTTTGCGCAACCGCGCTCACACCTAACACTTACCATCCTTTTCCTGCAGAGTCCAAGGGGACCACTGTCATTCCTGAGGCTCTTAGGACCAAGAAGCATCCAATGACCAGTGCCAAACCTCTCAGCCGGGATACACTAGGCCGGCCACCAATGGGGAAATTCCGCTTCCTAGTGGATACTCCGGCCGCACTAGCTGCTTTCAGAGAGGACTACGGCATCCCGGGCGATGTTCATCTCGAACTGGCAGAAGAAGAGACCACACCCTGGGGCAGACTTGATCAGTGCCCCTTCACTGTGCTCTCAATTGTCGAAGGGGGTCTCCGTTTCCCGCTCAATCCTCTTATAACCGAGTTCCTTCGTCGCACCGGGCTGGCACCCACACAAGTGTCAACCAATACCTATAGAATAATCAACTGCGTACACGAACTAAACAATCGGCTAGGCACCCACTTAGGTCTAGCCGAGATATTAAGGCAATACACAATGGGCCACACCGGTGATGGCCTAGCATATTACTTGAAGATTAGACCGGGCAAGGAAAAAATTGTGACCGGCACCCCGGATAAAGATCTTCACGACGATGATTTTTTCTGGGTGTTGGGCAATTACGAAACAGCCGAGGTGCCGGGCTGGTTCATAAACAAGGACTTCGGTTCTTCCTGTAAGTTATTCAAACTTGCTCGGTTTAGCTTAACGTTTTACCTTGTAACTAACCGGTTTCCTGTTTCTTTTGCAGCAATCCAAGCCTTACAAGCCAACTATCAATTTCCAAACGTTGAGGTAATTCGGACCGTGCTCCGGTATCCCCACCAAGATTGCAACGACTTACTCGGCTACACCCCGACCTACAGGTATTCCGCTCCGCGCCGGAGTAGAGTAACTGATTTCCTCCGAGCTCCTTCGCCACCTCCAGATCCTACCCTTCCAGACGTTCCTCTCATCCGCCTGACCGAGGAACAAGATGGTGTTACATAAGTTACACGCGCACAAAAGTCATTTAATGTAGAATTAAATTTGGTGTTACATAAGTTACACGCGCACAAAAGTCATTTAATGTAGAATTAAATTTGGTGTTACATAAGTTACACGCGCACAAAAGTCATTTAATGTAGAATTAAATTTGGTGTTACATAAGTTACACGCGCACAAAAGTCATTTAATGTAGAATTAAATTTGGTGTTACATAAGTTACACGCGCACAAAAGTCATTTAATGTAGAATTAAATTTGGTGTTACATAAGTTACACGCGCACAAAAGTCATTTAATGTAGAATTAAATTTGGTGTTACATAAGTTACACGCGCACAAAAGTCATTTAATGTAGAATTAAATTTGGTGTTACATAAGTTACACGCGCACAAAAGTCATTTAATGTAGAATTAAATTTGGTGTTACATAAGTTACACGCGCACAAAAGTCATTTAATGTAGAATTAAATTTGGTGTTACATAAGTTACACGCGCACAAAAGTCATTTAATGTAGAATTAAATTTGGTGTTACATAAGTTACACGCGCACAAAAGTCATTTAATGTAGAATTAAATTTGGTGTTACATAAGTTACACGCGCACAAAAGTCATTTAATGTAGAATTAAATTTGGTGTTACATAAGTTACACGCGCACAAAAGTCATTTAATGTAGAATTAAATTTGGTGTTACATAAGTTACACGCGCACAAAAGTCATTTAATGTAGAATTAAATTTGGTGTTACATAAGTTACACGCGCACAAAAGTCATTTAATGTAGAATTAAATTTGGTGTTACATAAGTTACACGCGCACAAAAGTCATTTAATGTAGAATTAAATTTGGTGTTACATAAGTTACATCTAAAAGAATAATGTTATATACACCAATTAGTATATTAATTAATATATTAACACTAACTATTAATTATATTCATTAATTACATTACAAATATAAAAAACTTCTTAAATTGTGTCACATCATTAATTGGTACACTAGTTAGCACATTAATTGATATATGTAATACCACCACATCCAAAATAAATATTTAGCTTCTCATGTTCAAATATAAACAAGTTTAGTTATCCCTAAATTTCAGAATCAATTGTCTGATTTTTTTTTTAAAAATAAAAATTAATTTAAAAATCAATAATACTTGACACCTCCATAACTCCCAATTAATTTATGATCACACATTATGTTTTTTTTTTTTCCCTCTCTCCTCTCCTCTCTCACAAAAGTGCTGGGGTTTGAAGCGTAACCCTTTGAAAATATTATCAACGCTAAGAGATAAAACGACAAAAGCCATTTATTTGAGATGAATCTAAAACGCAAAAGTCATTTAACAGAAGTTGGGGCCCTCACCCTTGCCTTTGCCTCTCTCATGTGCAAATTACAACCCTCTCCATCCTATCCTCCAAACCAACACAACACATCCCTTGCCTACCATCCCCCTCTTTTGTCCTTATTTATGTTAAGTTTGGGAAGACTAAATAAGTGTACTTTTTGACTTTTCTTGTATTATGGGTAGAAAAAGTAGAGAGGAGATATTGATTGATGTGACCTAAAAAAAATAAAAAGATGAAATAAGTGTATTTTTTTAGTTTAGTCAAACTTGGCCTTACCTTGCCTACCAACCTCTCTTTGTCCTTATTTACCGCCCCTATAATTATCACATCATTTTAGTCGAGTATTCTATGTAACAGTTTTCAATTTGTTTATATATATATATTTATATAAAATATTTATAATAATACCATATACTAAAAAAAAACTACTCCAAAAACTAACATCTTTGGTCCACAACTGTCTTAAAATTTAGCGAATATACTTGACGTACTTACAAGGTAATTTTCAAGACACAAATTTTTGGTTGATAGTATTTTCTTATAAATTTATGGTAAATAGCATTTCCTTTTACCTTATATTATAGGAGAAAATTGATGGGTCTAAAGTTTAAGAGAGGTACAAGTCACATGAGCCAAACAGGTAGGAAATTGAGTTGTCAAATGTGGTTTTTCCATGACATAGTTACAAAATACAGCAATATTAGGTGTCATAAAAAACCTTTCATAAAAATAACTATGAAAAATCGGTGACCCTTGTATTATACTTAAAATAAAACACTACACACTAATCAAGATAATCCAAAGGTCACAAAACTTTCATGATTATTTTCATGAAAATTTTTTCATCATTTCTAACTTTTTCCTACAAAACACAATGAGCTTTGTGAAGTTGCCAAACCAAGAAATAGGCTTGGGGGCAATGGAATTCATGATGAATCATCAACTCATCTAGACTAACACACAACCTTCCCTCCCATTCATGAGCAGTTTTTTTTGTTGGACAGCTTAAAGCCAATTCTCAAACGCAAGCCATCTTCAAAAAAAATTCTCTTTCACTTTTTATTTTTTATTTTATTTTATGCCTATATAAATGTGAGGAATGCAAAGAGTTCTCATAAGCTCTTTTGCTCTCAAACAGTCCCACCTTTTTTTCCAAAGGGCTTCACACTCCATCACCAAGATACGGCTATCTTTTTTTTTTTTGATCGGCAAAGAAAAATTCCATTAAAAATATGAAATTTAAAGGTACAAGGAGATAAAACGCATTGAGAGAGATTCGAAGAGTAAATACTCACTCTCCTACTACTGCTACTCGCGTTCATATAACCAACCTCTTAGCCTCACGATTTTACATTTTAAAATATAACTAGAAAATAAAATAAAGAAAAAAAACAACCACACTCTCTTGAGCCCCCACCTAAACACAGATACACTGAAAAAAGACCCACGCCTGATACACTCTCTTGAGCCCCCACGTCTGACTCAAACACTGAGACACTCTTGAGCCCCACGCCTGACCCGAGCACCCTGCGCCATTGTCGGACACTCAACCTCCAAAATTGCCGGACACTCGGGCTCCATTACCGTCGAGGACCACCCGTCGAGAACCACCATTGTCAGACACTCGACCTCTGAAACTACTTCCTCAGCTGGACTGCTGCACCGGGGCTGCTGCTGCTACTGGGACTGCTGCTGCTGGGACTTCAACCTCCACAGATACACTGAAAAAACCACACACTCAATCTCCAAAATTCTTTGCTCTCGACTTCAACCTCCACCGGTTGCCTGATACACACTTGATGCACTGACACACACTTGAAACACTCAACCTCCATACTTGCCGGACCCACAGACTCCTCCATCGCCGTCGAGGACCACCCGTGATCGAACCTCCTTTGCTTCATCTTTGAACATCGACAGCCTCTGAACATTTTGTTAACACTCTAAAATTAAACCCCTTTCCTTCCTTCTCCTCTGAGCCTCTGAACCTCTTCACCTCTGAACCTCCTTTGCTTCCTTCTCCTCTTCTCCGTGACCCAAACATCACCCTCCATTGCAGATGCTTAGCTTTTTCTTGCTTCACTCTCCTCTTCAAGCTTAATCGAACACAAACACCGACCACCAAAGGATTGAACGGAAATCATCCCTCAAACTCCCACTCGCACGGAGCGCTCGAATGAAGATCCTAAACATCTCTGGATCCTCCACCCCTCAAACTCCCTCTTGCAGCGAAGTGCCCGAATGAATTTCCTGAACCAACCCACCCAAGGTCAACGCAAGGCCGAAGCTGAACACCAAGGCTGAAGCTGAACCCAAGGCCGAGAAATGAACCCGCCAAACCCACCCAACAAAGCTTCCAAAACACCAACACACAAAGTGAAGAAAGATCTAAAACCACCCACGGGATAAACAGCTAAAAAACCCAAAGAAAACCTGAGAACACAAACACTCACTTTTTTTTTTTTTTTTGTGGTCATGCTGCCTCACAGAGGTTAGAGTGTGAGAAGCTCAAAAAAGGAGTGTGAAAATCAAGAAAAGATTATAAAAATAGTTTTTTTTTTTTTTAATACATTGTTAATAAATATAGTTCTGTTTCACAAAACTATCGGAAAAGGGGCATTTTTTAGAGGATTTCATATTTCCCTGTAAGAATCATCCAGTCCCAAAAGAAACTCAAGATGTTACTAGAGAGATAACGATGATAAGTTAGCTCTAAATCCAGCATTTTCTTGATATAATTTAGTAAAAACACAGCAAAAGAAGCAATATATGTACTTCCGAAACAAAAACAAAAACTATCCAACAAAACAAAAACAAAAACTATCCAACAAAACAAAAACCTCACTTCAAGAGTAATCATAGAGTGATATGCTCTTGTCATCCGACACGCTTGCGAGTCTACCGGCTCGCATGCCAGTCCCTCCAGGTGGTCGAAACGCCACCGCCCAAACCGGGTCCACATGGTTGCTCAGCGTCTGCACAGCCGCCCTCATTTTAAGATCCCATAGTTTCACAGACCTGTCGCTTGAGCCCGTGGCAATAGCTGCCCCATCTGGACTTGCATCAACACTCAGAACCCAGCTCGCGTGACCTGACATGGCGCTAATCAAGCTCTTCCCCTCAGCATCGTACATGTGCACATGGCTGTCATCGGAGGCAGAAAACAGTATCCTCGGATCAATAGGCGAATATACGAGAGAACGCACAGGCATGCAGTGGCCTTCCAAATGGTGCAGGAATTTGGCGCGAGAGACGTCGAAAATGGAGATTGTGCCATCAATTGAGCCACAAGCGAGTCGTTTCCCATCGGGGCTCCATGCAACAGAGAGAACAAATTTCTTGTTGCCGCTTTTATCAGAGGGTTTCAATCCTTCCGGGCGAGGGATAGATAAGGAGGTGATAAGCTTCCATTCGGCAGTGTCCCATAGTTTGATGGACGCACTACCCCCACCAGCAACAGCTAAAGTGGTACCCTGAACAAAAAACAATTGTCGGTAGGCTGCTGGCAGAAATTATATTCTCAATTAATTACAAATCTCGACTAACAAATATATTCATTCCTTGTAAATAAATGATTTGGTGATCAAATCCATCGGAAGGAAGTAGATATGGAGACATGGAGGTTTCATACTTGGATATACACAGCAGCAAATCAACCAGCAACATTTGCAGCAAAATTAGATCATAACTTGCAAGCAACTGGATCCTTACATTAAAATTCTGATATCAAACATATGCGCATTACGAGGGATAACCTATGTTAGATGGAATTGGGTCCAGGTGTATATCTAGAAGTCAGACACATCAAACTCCAAATTTTCGAATACATGGACTCGACACAAACGGATCCAAAAATTAGATATGGGTAAGAGGATGCGTTGTCTAATTGGGAAAAATAATTTTATATTGTAACAATAAAATGTATTCATGATATAACTTATTTTGCTATAATAATAGTGTTTTGGCAATGCAAAATATAGAATTAATACAATGATTTTACTAATTTTAGTATATTGGCAATAATTTTACTCTAAATTTATGGAAAATAACCGATGAGTCCTACTTTTGCCAAAGAAAACACTACTAGAAAATTAACCTTTTGCGTCTAATTTTTTGCGACTGACTATTTAACCGTCGCAAAAAAAAAAAATATTTGCTACCGAAAAAAAGACGGATGCAAAAAAATAAATCAATGAAAACAGTCCAAAACTACGTGATTTTACTTTGCTCAATTTATTATTCCTATTTCTTTTATTTATTTTATATACCAATGCCCTAGCCCCTTTCACTCTCACGACATTCACAAACTGTCTCTCTCGCTCTCTTGCTCGCCATTAGTCGCAGCTCTAGTGGTATGAATCTTTGTCTCTCGGTCTCTCACTTTCTTCATCATGCTCTGTTTCTCTGATCTTCAATTTCATTTTCCGACTCAAAATTCAATTTTCTAAGTTGAATTTTCTCGAGAAAGATGCAGCCTCTACGAGATTTGATCGACGATGAAACAGAAAATTGTTGAGTGAAATTAGGTTAATTGTTTGATCGGGCAAAGAGAAAAAAACAGAGAGATGAGAAGCACAAACAACAACGCTCTAGGTACGATAAGCGTTGCTGCGACTGCGATCGCGTCAGCTGGGACTCAAGCTTCAGTTCAGGTAAACAATTTGATTCTAATTTTAACTATAATTTACGTTGCTTGTTGTGGTTGATGATTTGATTATCTCAATTAGATACATGAATCTCTCGAGTTTCAATTTCTAATTCTAAGCTCTGTATAATCTGAACATTTAGGTTCAAGGTCTGCTGATTATATATATGTTACGTTGATCAGTTTACTTTGTTTGATGTAGTTTTTGGAAATTATATTTGTTTAATGCTTTTTAATTGTGTTGTTGTTGTTGTTGTTGCAAGTCATCCTCATCATCTTGAAATCGAGAAGGCAAAGAAGATGCTGAAAGTAAAAACTGAGATGTATCCTACAATATATATATATATATATATATATATATGTCACTTTGTTAACGTTATTGTTTGGCACTAAGTGCTTGACTGAACAAGCACTGATTAGCAATACAAATGGTAAATTATTATTTATGATAGCCTTTGAAAGATTTGGTTATGATAAACTTTATTTTTGTCTGTTTTGGAGGAAATAACCATTGACATTGACAACCTGAAACTCATCTTGTCATAATAGCTTGTGGCTTTGCTTTGGAGGTAATTTATACTGTTGTTATCTCTTTTGATAATGTTAATGTTGGCCTAAATTAAAAGTTAATGTAATCTCTTAAGCTCCGTCATCGTTACTCCCGAAAAGAAGCACTCTTCGATTGCCAGAGTTTCAAGTGCATACTCAAACTCGTGTACTGCTTGTGCATCTATGCATGTACAAATATCATTGTTTTGAGTCTAAGTTTGGGCCATATCTTGTGCAAATAAAATCTCTTGCCACTTTGTGTGGCTAAAATATTCCTTCATCATGTTCCTTCTCAGGAATTTCACCTGAAGATGGTGGAGAGGGCTATGCAACATACATCTGCAATTTCATCATCTTCGGTTTCTTGCAGTGATACTGATAAGGTTTGTGATTGAATTTACCTACCAAAAAAAAAATTGTTATTGAATTTAATGGATACTTAAGTATACTCTGACACAATTAGTATATTGTGTCCTTGATTGCGACTCTTGTGCCTAAGAAGGACACAGCCCAGTTCCAATTTATATGTGTATGTTTATGTTTATTTTAAAATGTTGTTAAATAAAAAATTGAGTTAAAAATTGAAAACTAGATTAAAGTAGTTTGATGACTAATTTTTATAATAATTAAGGTAATTAAATTAATTTAATTATATATATAATATGTACCTTCTTAGAAGTGTCAATACTTTTCTAATATGTACCTTTGGGATGGGTGAATTATCCTAGTTTGACTGGATGTAGGCTTAATGTTATTTGGTTGCTGATATATGCTTGTTTAGATTATGGTAACCTTTCTTAGGTAATTGATTTCAGGTGAAGCTCAAAGCTACAAAACAAAAATTTGGACGAGAAATCTGTGTGTTTGAAACCCCAAATGCTTCTCCAACACCCAGCAATGTATCTAGCAGTGGTATGACCACTAAACCATTTATGCCATTATTGTTCATCATTACCTATGGAGTACTCTAATAATGTGGAATATGTATTGGAGTACCCTCTTCAAATGCATGATTCACTTTGGTTAGCAGAGGAGCCAGATGACTTCTATGAGTTAGTTTTGTGAGGAAGATGATAAATGTGTATAAGTACCATTTATGTAAGAATTGAAAACTTTGTCCTATTTATACCAATTCAAATGCATATCTGAACCTTTATGGAAATCGAGGGATGGGACTTAGCATATCAATTCACTTATAATGGGGTCATTAAATGTAACTGCAAATTGGTATAAGCGTTGGTGGTTGTACTATGATGCAAATATATCAATTACCTAAGGTTTTACCATTGCATTTGAAGTTGCACTTGTTCTTCTTTAACCTGACATACATGCATACCAACAACAACAAAAAAAAAAAAAAAAGGAAGAAAAAAAGAATAAGAAAAATCGTACAAGCATTGCCTAGAAAAAAAGCAATGATAAAAAAGTAGGGCTGTTCATCTAACCTGGAGACCCGGCAAACCGTCCAATCCGAACCCACCCGACGAGCTACGGACAGTTTTGCATGTGCTGTGGTTCGGTTGTGGGTGTAAATCTATTGTTTTAACAAGTTCACGGTCGGTCATGGGTAGGAAGCTTGAACCAAAAACCATTTTAAAATACCTTCAACTTCTCAGACTTGGAAACCCAAAAGACAGCCTGGGACAGAGAGAAAATACAAATAAGAGATGAGGGAGGAAGAGAAGATAAAAATATGAGAAGAAAGAGAGTAAAGAGATTTAATTTAACATAGAAGAAAAAAAGCCAAGAAGCAGAGAGAAGAAGAGCGCATCTCTTCCAAATATTTCAATTTTAATTCCTTTTCAAAGGCATCATCTCATTTTCTCGTAAGAGGCCCTAATAATACGTAGTTACCATATGAAACTACCCTAGCCCATATAGTAAAAACTTCAGCCCAAGAGTTTATCCCTAAAATTCTATATATAAAAAAAAAAATTTAAAATAGAAAACAGCAATACATACAACTAAAGCAATCACAAGTCCTAACAGAATTCTAATGATTGAAATACATCAATTGACAATCATCTTCTCAGTTCTCATAGTCTTAGACCAACTTGGGTGCATTATGTCAGTAAAATCATATTATTACAAATACACAGTGATTATAATAATCATTATTGTTGATTTTAAGTCTTATGCTTTACTAATTTCTAAACAAAGGAAAAAGCTACCAAAGAGGATTGTCCTTGTTACTCCCATATTTAATGATATGTTGAGCACATTAGGACCACGGATTTAAATAATTAAATAACAAAAAAAATATAGACATTACATTTTCATTTCAAATTATAAACTGTAAACCATTCCAAATTAAACTTTCATTTCACTAGCATTTCCATTCTATTCCACTAGCATTTCCATAAACTGAAAACCTGTAAACATCCTATGCCACTAGCATTTCCATTCCAATAGCAACTCCATTCCTGTAAACCTGTAAACAATATAAGTAAAAACAACACCCATTCCAAGTAAACAACATCCATTCTATTATAAACTGGAGCAAACATCCTCCATTCTAAGCAAACATCATCCATTCCAAGCAAACACACATCAACAATAGTGCTGAATCAATTCCAACAAGAAAAAGGTAAAGAAGAGGGAATAAAAAGAAAGAGGTAAAGAGCATTGTAAAACAGAAATTCAACGTGCAAGCAGTTCCTAGTTCCTACTTTCTAAAAAAATTTTACTATTTATGCAATCTCTCTTTTGGTTCGAATTGATATACTTACCATTTCAATATTCATAACTTAAGAACCAAACAAAGAACCTCAATAAATTATATACAATGTAAACAAATGAACAAACACCACAACAAAACTCAAAGATCAAGTTGATTAGAACCAAAAGTAACTATATGAAACTTGATCTTCTAATTAACACATCAACAAACTCTGAAACTCTGAAACTCTATGACAAAGAGACTCACACAATGCTCTACAGAAACATTTTCAAAGCTCAACACAGTCCAAGCATTTGATGCAAGAACAAAAAATAAAAATAAAAAAACTAAAAGCTTTCAAACTGGATCAAATAAAATTACAACATGAAGGAAAACCCATCAATAAAAACATTCAATATGTAACTGGATCTTCCTATTAACACAGAAACACACTCTGAAACCATTAAATTTTATGGCAAAGACGCTCACACAATGCAGTAGAGAAAAAATTTCAAACATCAACAAATTATGCAGCCCAGGTATTCGATGAAAGTATCAGACAAAAAAAAAATTGAGTCTTGAAACTGGATTGAATAGCGTTAAAAAATGAAAACCAATCAACAAAAAACACATTAAAAAGCAGAAATAAAAAATAAGCTCCATGAAATTTTTATATATTCAATTTGACATGAATTCTGAAAGTTCTGGGATAGACCTACCATTTCATTCATGTATGCTTTTACACTGTTTGTATACAGGTATGTATGCTTTTACACTGTTTGTATACACATACGTAGATACCATATATATGGAAAATTGTTTTGTGGAATGGTAAATGCTTGGATTGCAGATTTTAATCTGAGGGCAGCCGCTTCATGCAAACAATGCCAAAGAATGGGTTTGTAGCAGCCACTAATCAACCAACCAACAAAAACATCCAAGGGTCTATTTTTTGATTTCATATTAGAATTTGATGTTGATATTAAAATTTGTAATGATGACTTACATGAAACATGAAAATGACATTAAAAAAGAGGAAAATATTGATTTTTCTATTCCATAAAAATTATATATAAGTGAAATACTTACCCCGATTAAAAGGTTGCATTTCATGACTTCCAAAAGAGGATCTCTGATGTGTTTGTGGAGAAGCCTGGTGAATGCCATTTGATCCATCTGTCACCTCATTTATACAATAAAATTCACATGAGTATGATAAATTTAGAAAAGGATAACATATGATAAATTAATACATCATTTAGATACAAGTATTTGTTTTTTCATGTTATGAACATTCTTAGAATTATCAATACAATAATATAAACATAATTTGTGCATTTCTTTGCCTAATTCACATATACGTATATGTATATATATATATATGTATAGATGTAATTAATAAAAAACTAACCTATTAATCAAATTAAATGAGCATTTTTTTTAAATCAACAAAAGAAAAGGATCTTTATTGATGAATCATAAGCTTACAATTACAGCAACAATACATCAATGAAAGGTGGGGGCAAGCTCAATCAAGTCCAGCCAAATATAGCAGTGTACAAAATAAAAACTAGCTCTGTTTCTCCTCTGTTCCAACAATAAATTCAGTCACAAAAAGTTCCATTCCAGCACTAAAACATAACAGCAGCAGTGTGTTTGTGCATGCACATTGTGCTCTAAAGTACTTTTTTTTTTACTTCAACACGTTTTGAAAATAATCTAAGATTGGTTCTAAAGAAATTTTTGAACTTCTTATATGTAAAAAGGAAACATACCCTAAAAGGCTAAAAAATCTTATATATTTCTATTAAGCTCACTGGCCTCTATTAAGCTCAATTGAAGATTTTGTGATTTTAGGGTTATTGCAACATCCCAGCTCTACTATCTTTTATTATATGTTATATCTTATAATCTCTTATATAAAAAAATGATTAATTATGTGTCATTCTTGCTTTAATTGTGTTTCTGAGATTAGTAGTGTAAAAGGTTACTTTTATTGGTAAGCAAGGAAATCCTTGAAACCTTAATATGTAGATTTTTGAAGCTAAATAATTTTCTTAATGAGCTTTGATAAAAATTTCTAATTAATGTCTTTAATTAACTTAAAACTTGTTTTCAGTTAAGTGTGATTATAGCATGGTTAATTAACCTAACCTATGTTGTGATTGGTTATGTTCTGGGCTTTGATACAAAGTGATCTGATCTTGTCTTAACCCTTGGTTATTGGTCTAAACCCTAATTATGGTTAACCAATTTGTATTTAGGAAAGATTACTCAAGGAAAACAGGGTCACATTTTGTTTGTCTATTGTTGAGGATAGACAAACAAAGTATAAGGATGTGTTAAAATAAGTTAAATTGAGCCTGAGTTGGGATTAATTAAATCTAAGTGTGGTGATTAGGCATAATTGATGATTTATATGTGTTGACATATTACAAACCTTACAATGGTTTGAGAGAAATATGTTATGAAACCCTAGGTTTAGGTTCATTTTGGGTGGAGTGGTTACGTCTGTTATAATTTAGATGTACTTGTGGTATGGTCAAACCTTAGGTGAAATGATGACCTTAGAATTCTGGGTAGATTCCTAGGTATGTGAACTTGTAGTATATAATTTGTGTTTATTCTATGTCCTATTTATACGAGTTCAGTATAGGCGATAAGTGTAAAATATTTACTTTGTTTATACCTAGTTGGGACATGAGGAGAAGCAATGTAATAAGTTTATAATATACTTGTGTGGTTTTGGGTTGAGATGTGAATTTTGATTCAAGCTGTGATCTGATTATGGTTACACAATATTGATCGCTTACAAGTTAATTAGTTACGCTTCCACTAACCAAATTGTCACTATTAAGCAAGTATTCAACTCATTTGGTTCCATAAGAGGCCTTGGTGGCTGGTCATATTTACAACTCCCAAAAGTGTGGGGTTGGAGATATGACAGGGCGGTATTTAGAGCATTAGGTTATGAAGCCGTAGATTTAGGGTCATTATCTGTTGGTGTTAATACGAATTTGCCATCTCTTCCTATCAAGTTGGTGAAGACTTGTGAGGAACATGTTTCAAATTCTTGAGTCAATCTTTTTAAGAGATCAATGAAAATATTTTTCATTTGTATGAGAATACTCTAGATTTTGCACTGATATTAACCATGGTGTTTTTTTGTTTTTCTAAAAAACATCACACAAGAATTGGTACACACAATTACTAAATATGTACATATATTAAATCTTTAATTAGTGATTGTCTTACAGGCAGCATACACTGTGGGGGGGCATTCTTTCAGTGTAGCTGCCACAATGCTCCTTACGTCAAATGCTTTGAGGAGCATGGGCTTGGATACTTGTAATTCAATAAAAATGTTTTGACTCGTAATGCTTGTATGGAGGTCCTAAACAGCAGAAAATGGATGTCATAATTTAATTTTTGAATGCTATATTACGAAAATGTCCAGTACTTTTTGTTGTTTCTGTTTGGCTATCAAAGCTTAAGAAGGTAGATGTATACATGTTCATGTTAGTTTCAAGTAAATACTGATACATTTTTTATGTAATGCAGAGAATCCATCTATTGGAAGCATTGGAGGCATTCTTGAACTTCTTATATGTAAAAAGGAAACATACCCTAAAAGGCTAAAAAATCTTAAATATTTCTTAGGATGGCCTATATATATTTCTTAGCATGTATTAGGTTGGCAACTAATACATAAATTTTTTTTCTATTCCCTTTATTTTTTTTATTTTCCTCTTGCTGAAAGGGAAGCACATGGACTTTATGTCTACAGTTGAAACTACTGCCACAATGCTCCTTACGTCAAATGCTTTGAGGAGCATGGGCTTGGATGCTTGTAATTCAATAAAAATGTTTTGACTCGTAATGTTTGTATAGAGGTCCTAGACAGCAGAAAATGGATGTCATAATTTAATTTTTGAATGCTATATTATGAAAATGTCTTGTACTTTTTGTTGTTTCAGTTTGGCTATTAAAGCTTAAGAAGGTAGATGTATACATGTTCTGTGTGTGTGTGTGTGTGTGTGTGTGTGTGAGAGAGAGAGAGAGAGAGAGAGAGAGACCAAAGAAACAAAGTGAGATCAAAGTTAGAGAAGAGAGAGAAAGGAAGAATTGGTGAGGTTGAAGGCAATTTGGAAGTTTAAGCTAGGATTACACACAAATTCAACCTTAGGTATGCTTCTTAACCTTGGTTCTTGCATAAATAATCCAAGTTAGAGTTGAATTCATTAAGTTCATGAACCCAATTGCATGAATTGGGGAGTGTGTGTTAGAATTAAGCTTAGATAGATGAATTTGAAAGTAATCCATGCATGCATACTCGTATCATCATAATTTGAGTTATTTTTCAAGAAATTCTCACTTGCATGGACATATACTTGCATGATTTTAAAAATTCAACCTAATTCTTCCCTTCTTGCTTCATTTGAACATGTTTTGGAACCAAAAATTTTGAGTTATTGCATGTATATATATATATATATAAAGTTTCAAGTTTGATTGTGAACAATTGACTTTCTTTTGGGCCTTGATTTTGCGAAATGGCTTTCAATTCATAAAGTTCTATAAGTTTTCAAGAGTTTTCTTAAGTTGTGGCCCAAAATGATGAGCTTTGAAGCTTTGGAATTTGATTTTTGAACTTGGAACAGCAATATGGAAATTCCAAAATTGGTCGCATCACTTGAGTGACCAAACTGTCGCTTGAGCGTAAAATTCAAGCTCCTAGTAGTTTTGTAGACAATTGCACGGTGGCTCGAGCGACCGATTGTGCGCTTGAGCGAACATTCTTTTTCTCAGTACTTGGCTCGAGCGACTGTCGAACGTGAAAACCAAGCATTCAATACTTTTGCAGATTTTGCAGACCGCTCGAGCGACTAAAGCTTCACTCGAGCAAACTGCCCTATTTTCCAAAATTTTACAAGTGTTTTCAAAGTACAGGTTTGCATCCTAGGCATTCCTAGGCCATGATTAAGTTATAATAATAAGGATAAGAATTAGAAACACACGTTAGGAAAGAAGAATGATAAGTTAAGCACCTATGGGACATGTGTTCAAATGTGTATCTATCATGTGTTTGTGTAGGTCACGTGTTATCGCTCGCCTGATCAGTTTGTTTTGTCCAAGTGATCTTTTCTACTGTTGGAGCTATCTGTAAGTAACAATTCTGTAATAGCTATGTTTGATTATAAGTATTTTCAAAATAATATGATATGATTTGTTTTGTGAAATGCTATTTTGTAAATCATGAATGATTGTCCAGTTCTTTTGAAATATATTCGTGGCATCCTTAGCATCATGTGTTCATGTGACCTGGTACCAGGGTTTCAAGTGGCTTGCATTCATGGAACTGGTTATGCATAACTGCTTATATGATCAGCACGTAAGTCTTTATGACCATATCAAGTGAATGTGGGTCTTTATGACCAAGTGTTTTGTTAGGTAATGGATGTACCACATATAACTGTTTAAGGAATCTATATAAGCATGTGAATCTGAATATGTCTCCAATATGAAATTTGTTTTCTGAATATGTTTTGGACATCATTCATAAATCTTTTACTTTGTTGTTATTCACTGGACTCCAGTTCATTATTTTATATATGTATGTAGGTGATCAGGCATGTGACTAGACTTGAGACTTCCATTCTGGATCAATTTTGTTAGCCAACCATTGTGCTTCACAAGAAAGTTCCCAATATATGGTTGTAGTCAAGTTTGTAAAACAGTCTTAAGCTTTTATTTTCTTTTGTTTTTGTTTGAACAACTTTTCTATAATTTGTAGTAGGGTTAAGTCCTTTTTTGACTGATGACGCATGTTGACGTCATAATAAATGTATATAAAGTTTGAAATTTTCTATCCCATATAAGTCTACACAGCTCTATGGACGTTGTATTTGTAATATTTGCTTCCGCTAGCCCCTTATTTTATTAATATGTTTTAGAGGCCTTCGATAATCTTAAGATTACTAGCCGGTTACGATGCTAAACTTATAGGGGCGGGTTTGGGTTGTGACATCCAGTTAATAGTTTTGCCTATCTCATAAGCATACATGTTTAGTGTCTGTATATGTATGAAGTACCTGTTCTTTTTCTAGGGCAGAGGGGGCATTGTTGGCAATCATTGAAATCTAAAGGAACTGAGAGATCAATAAGAAAAAAATTCAAAAACGAGAAGTCACTCACCAATTAGAAAAAATATTCCGGAATTATTTTACATTTTTGATTCTATATTTCTGAATTATTTATAAATTTTCGATACTTAATTTTTGAATTTTTTAACTTAATTCGGTTATGTAGTTCCAAATGTTTTACAATTTTTCAGTACTTGATATCAGAGTAGTGTTTGCAAGCAATGGATAGAGTGTAGCAATGGAGTGTAGCAAGTAATGAAGAACAATAGAGGAAGTGAGAAACAATGTAGGAACTAGGTTTTAATTTTTGTTTTTTTTTTAAAAAAGATGTGTACAGAGAGAATCTAGATTTAATTTGTAGCATGTATTGATGTCCATTATGGTCATTTTGCTTCATGGTACAATTGTCATAATTTTTTTTTTTTTTTTTTTTTTTTTGTATACACTGAGACAAAAAGGTGTGTGAAAATAGAATTTCCCCACATCACCTTCTCTATTTTTTTACATTTTTTTTCTTTTTCTTTTTTTGTTGTAAAAAGTGAAAAAACTAACTAGAATAACATACTCCCAAACACCTCCTAAATACTGTTTTGGGCAAGATTTTTTTATGGGTTAAAGTTCGACCTGTCTGTTCAGTTAGAGAAGCATTTTGTTAGGAATGGGCTGTCTTGGGTGGTGGGCAATGGAAACTCTATTGATCCTCTTGAAGAGAAAGTCATTGGATTCCTATGAAAATTTCAAGGTCTCCCACCTTTTTTATCCTTTGACTAGGTTGTAGAGGGAGCCTCTGTCAGGTTTCTACTCTATATGTGAATAGAGAGTTTCACCAAGTCATCAATGGAGGCTGCCAGAAGAATAGAGAAGCTTGGAGAAGCTTCAAGGAGGTCAACAATGGCTGCCACCAAATTTGTCAAACTTGACCACCAGTCAGCCGTAAGATGCGGCAACTACCAACCTAGCATTCACACCTCTCATGTTTGTATATAAATAAATGGAGAGAAGAGCAGAGAAAATGTGAGAAAACCAGTGGAAAATATATATATATATAGAGAGAGAGAGAGAAAGAGAGAGAGAGAGAGAAATAGCGAGACCCTTTATGGCAGAGAGGGAGCTCTCTCGATGTGAAAGGGGAAGTTGAGTGTTGAGTTGAGTGAGAGAGAGTCTCCTCCTCCATTGTAATCTTTCTGTATTCTTTTCACTGATATAGTAAAAATTGATTTCTCTCCCGTTGACGTAGGCATTAGGCTGAACCACGTTAAATTTGTTTGTCTTCTTTGTGTATGGTTTGTTCTGGACAACTTAGGGGGGATCCCCGAATCCCAACTTTATCAGGACTTTATATATAGAAAATCAATAATCCTTCGGTTGGAAGAAACTTTTGGTTTGATTTAGTTTTACAATCATGATTTGAATGTAGAATTGTACTTCGAAATATAAGTTTTTAAAATGAGTTTTGAAAGAGAAAATTTGTTGGTTATGAGTATTGAAAAAAGTTGAGTTTTGAGTTGTATTTTGATTTGGTTTTTTTTTTTTAAATATTTAAAAAATTTCTAAATTTTAATTTTTAGGGTAAACAATTTTTAGTGTAAATATTTATTTATTGTTTTTAATGTGCATTGTATTTACTACATTTGTGCGCCGTATTTTTTTAAATATTTAAAAATATATATTTTTTATTTTAAATATATAATTTTTATTTTTGAATATCTTTTTATTTTTTAAATATTTAATATTTAATATTTATTTATTTTTTAAAATTTTAAAAATTTGGATTGCCCATATATCTCTAAATCATAACAAATTATTTGGCCAATATTTTAAAAAATAACAAAATATTTTTTTCAAAAAATTTAAAAAAGAAAAAATATTTTTGTTCAAAAATAAAAATAGAAAATATTTTTGAAAAAAAAAATTAAAAAATATATTTTTTAAATTTTTTTTTTAAATAGTTGTTTTGCAAAGAGTTTGGTTATTAGTTTTAAAAAGTGTTTTGAAAAAATTTTTTGGTTATGAGTTTTGAAAAGAATTTTAAAATTTTTTTATCCAAAACCAAACGCTTCCTTTGGTTTTCCTCTATCTATACCCCTAAATGGATCATTTTCGTTTGGAAAATGCTCCATAATATATTACCAGTTAAGGCTCCAGAGACAACCCATTTTTGACAAGACCGAAGACTTAGACAAACAAATAAAATGAAAATGCAGAAACAAATGGTTGCGCCCTCAGGCTACCTACGTATCCCTTTGCATGGAATCAAACTAGCGCAGTTCAGGGGCAAGATGCAAAATGATATACAATATAACAAAATAATATAAATGATATATAGTGCAATGAAATAATAGAGCCACAAGTAGTGCAAAACCACACAAATATCATAAAGGGATGGAGATGCAACATCAAAGTACGTTTAACATAGAAAAGAAGTGGGCACGAGCCAAACAACGCCTAACACTGGCTAAGTGCCTACGTCCTCAGTACTGGCCTCAGCCCAGCATGGATGCTTACACATAACAGAACTATGTTTCAACGTGAAAGGGGTGCGAGCACATGCAAAACTATGCGTTTCGCAGAAAGAATACAAGTAATTGGATGGGATGATGTGAGTAAGGAATGATCTGCTGTGGAAAGATCGTGATCCTAAATGCTGAATGCAACAAAACAAAATACGATACAATGAATGCAATGGATAAAGTGAATAAGGCGTAAGCCAAACCACATTTTTCCTAGAAAAGGCGTGGATACAAAATAGACCACTTCTAACACAGAAAAGGTGCTGAAACCCTCAAACCATAATTCTCTTAGTGGAATAGGCACGTACACATTATCACAAAACCATGCTTCAACGAAGGAAATGTA